TTTGTTTTTATTTTTCCGTGATTTGGTGGTAATTCTTCTCAGTTTTTTTTTTTTTTTTTTTTCTTTTTTTTTTTTTTTTTTTTTTTGTGCAAAGCTGTCTGGTGAAATGCTATGACCATTAAAATAATGGAGCAGAAAAGCTTGGTGTGCTCTTGGGGAAGAGAAAAATTCCACAAGGAGAGGCCAGGAGCCCAGGGGCGGTTGCTGAGGATGTTGGTGGTGGTGGGAACTCACCTGCCTGCCTTCTCTCATTAATTCATTCGTACAGGTGAGGGCTGCCATGGTACCCAGCCCTGCCCGAAGGGGCTGCCAGCCCAGCAGAGGCTATATCTGTGGCTGGACTGTTTCTGAGCTGCGCTGCCCACATGGGCCTGCAGCTTCTGTTATGGATCTGTCCTGCATTCCCAGCATTGCTACTCCTGCCAGGGTCCCTTCCTGGCCCGTATCCCTGGGCTGTACCTGGGTGTGGGCCCAAGAAGACAGCTTTCTACTCAGGGTTGGCTCTTTACATCTTCCCGTGAACTGGTAACCTTGAGTGAGGGGCCTGTGTGTGCACTTCAGTGTGCACATCTGCAAAGTGGAGCCATAGCTCAGGGTGGAACAAGGACCACACACCATTGAGACATACCTGGGACTCCTAGCGTGGGTCTCAGTGTCTTCCACCTCCTTGTGCTGTGACCTAGAAGCATGTCACACCAGTCCATGGTGTTCCTGGGCCCTGATGAGCAGCAGTGGCGTCTCCTGTTGAGACGAGGCTCCTACACCTGCCTGGAGACCTGAGCTCATCTTGTGCTTGCCAGGGGTCATGAGATCTGGATTCCAGCCCTTGCTGGTTCTTCCTTTAGCTTGGGGTATCTCCCTTTCTTCATCCAGTTCAGTGTCCTTGTCTGGGAAGTTGGTTGGGCCTGGCTGGGAGAGTTGCTGTCCCCAGGTGGTCTCCTCCAGCTTGGCCCTGGCTTCTCAGTGGCCCTGGGATTCCCAGTAGCAGGAGTGGTCAAGGCCAGGCTCAGAGACCCCCCCTCTGGATGAGAGGCACTTCTGGTTATGGCTTTCCTTTGTGGCAGTAGAAACAACACACCCTCACATGGCCCATCGTGGATTTTGTGACCCACACTCAGCTTCTCCAGGGATTCTGGGGGTGGGAACTTTAGGGGATCGCTCCTTGGAGGGACCCTGAGCAGATGATTCCAGAGATATGGATGGTTCTTGGGGTGGGGTGGGGTGTGGCAGGAGGGATTGTGCTGTGAGGCTGGGTGTGTCTACAGAGTCCCATCTCCCTGGGCCTCTTCCCTCCCCCAAACCCCAGGGGTGAGCTAGGCCGGGAGATGCCCTGTGCAGTGTTGGGGCTTTGACACCCCCAGCACCTCAAGGCAGCAGGGTTGGGTTGTTCCTGGGGTTGTATCTTGGCAAGTGCTGGCGGTTAAGTCTGGGGCACTTCAATGTGAGCTTAAAACCAAATGGTCCGATTTCAAAGAGATTTACGTCCAGATCCTCCAACGGGTAAAATGGGGCCAAAAATAGCTACAGCACTGACCGGAGGAGGGGTCAAGGTCAAAGGAGGAAGCAGCCAGGATTCGATGCCCTCGCCCACCGCTCCCTTGGCTGGGGACATTGCCGGTGCCCCTAACATAACATTGTCATGGCGGGTGCTTATGGGACACCACCTGCTGGCGGCAGTTCCGGGAGCTCTCACTCTACCCATGCCCGCTACTGAGGGGATTACTGTTTGCGCTCTGCGTCACAATTGAGAAACCGAGGCACACAGAAGCTCAGGGACAGTCCCGAGGGAATCAGTCTTAACCCAGGCAGTCTGAATGACGCTGGAGGCGGTGTCACCTTTGTAGAGAACTCTCCTCCAGCTCCCTGAAATGCTCCCAGAACAAAGGCCAGACCAGCGTGAGCATCCCGGGGTCAGCTTTCCAGCAAGTGGAGGGGGATCTCACATCTCCTCCCTCCCGTGTCCCTACTGTACAGGCGAGGGGGCCGAGGGGCTTCAAGTTCAGGCACTGCCAAGGCCGCTCTCATGCAGGCTGAGGTGGGATCTGAGCCCAGCCCCGCCCTGCCTCCAACATGCCTCCTTGTGGGCTGCAGCTCCCCTGAAAAGCCTGTTGCTGCTCAGGTCTGGCCACCCCCTAGCTGCGTACCTAGCTGTTCCAAGTTGGTTCCTGTCCTGGGGCTCTGGGTGCCAGGGATGGGAAAGGCTAAGATGGGTGCTGGGGCGGGAGGAGGGGTCACTCCCCAATTCTGGAAATGATGGTGAAATAACATAACAGTTCCTGTTTACCTCATGCCAGGCCTGCACTAAATGCTCCACATGTGGTCCTTTAGTCCCTGCTGCCCCACGGGGATGGTCCATATGAAGAGGCTTGTGTTCCCCAGCAGCACGTGAGATGGTCTCGGTATTAAACTGAGCTACGGATTAAAAACATGACTAGCTCTGATGCTGTGGTATTTCATTTCTGGCTATGATATGAAGTTTAAAATAGTTTTATTTAATTTTTTAAAAGAACATTGATTTAAATGAAACACAAATTAACATAGCACAGAGATAAGGGTGGAGGCTGAGCCAGTGGCTGAGGTTTGGCCAATGTGGCTTCCTGCAAGTGGGTGCTCAGTAAAGGAGCAGCAGGCCCGAGGCCCCACAGCCTCCAAGCCAAGGCTGGTGTCCTTCCTATCCTCATCCAGCATCCCCAGAACCGAGGGGAGCTGCCCCCTCGGATGTGCTGCAGGGTCTGGCAGGACTCCAGG